CTTCTGGAAAATCAGCTTGTGAAACTCCATGGAGCACAGTTCTTCTTGGACACATTGTGTGTGGTCTCCAGGTGTTGGGGTTGATTTGATGAAAGCTTTCCCCCCCCACTGCTTGTGGGTAGGTTCTGAGACTACCCAAAGTCTCACAACAACCTGAAACAAAGAAGGCAAACAAGAGAGGGGAGAAGTTTCCATAGCCTTCTGTCCCCAGGTTGGGTCCACCTGGGCCTGTGGCCAGCCCGAGGCATCTGAGGACTAGAGAGATTGGAATTCCAGCTCAGGTCTCCAAGTTTAGGGAACTTGCCTTCTCGGGAGCCACATCTCTACCCCACATATGTTCTGAGGATCCTCACTTGTCTCCACTTTCCTTGAAGGGTCAGCTTATTTTGTAAAAATCTTTATAAACATTATGCTGAGGTAAATAAGCTCATCACAAGGGAACAACTATTGTTTAGGCCCATTTATATGAAACATCTGTTATAGGTACAGGCAAATGTGTGGTGACTAGAGTTTGTAAGATGTTATCAGAGGAAGGAAGGAACTCCGGTGGCACAATAGTTAAAGTGCTCACTCGCAACCCAAAAGATTGAGAGCTTGAATCCACCCAGATGTATGTACCTCAGGAGGAAATGCTGGTCTATCTGCTCCAGTAAAGCTAACAACCTAGGAAGCCCCACGGGGCAGTTCCACTGTCATCCAGGGTCACAATGAGTCAGAATCTACTTGATGGTACAAAACAACCAGAGACAGGAGAGAAGGATGATGAAAGGGGAGCCCTTGCTTTTGGGGACACCAAGCTTCCGTTTGGAGTGAAAGAAAAATTTGAAATCACTCTAGTAATTGTTGTGTAATCTAGTGATGGTTGTTCAATATGATGAACATCATTAATGTCACTTAATTGTACATGTAAAAATGTTGAAATGACAAATGTTTACACACACACACACGTAAAACAGGGATGATAGAAGGAAAATTGATGCCTTTGAGCTGTAGTGCTGGAGAAGTGTGCTGAATATACTGTGGATTGCTGGGAGAACAAACACGTTCATCCAGCCTGCTCCTTTGGAGGCAAGGATTCTAAAGCTTCATCTCACCTACTTTGGACAAATTGCAAGGAGGGACCAGTCCTTGGAGAGGGACATCATGCTTAGAAGGGTGGAGGGATAACACAAGAGAGGAAGACCCTCAATGAGATGGATTGACTCAGTTACTGGAGTAATGGGGATAGGTGTGTCAGAGACAATCAGGTTGGCTTAGGATAAAGCAGGGTTCAGAGCTCTTGTTCATAGAGTTGCTTTGAGTCACAAGTGACTTGGCACATAACAACAACACATAAATATAGACATATCTATATACACACACACACACACACACACACACATATATATATATATGTGTGCATTCTCTCTGTATGTATATATGTATATGTATATACACATGTTGTTAGGTGCCATTGAGTCAAGTATATAGACACACACTACTACACACACACACAACAAACTCGTTGCTATTGGATTGATTTAGTTCATGATGACCCTTTGATTTGCAGAGTAGAACTGACCCAGAGATTAACCTTTGCTGTTGTTGTGAACCAAGAAGTTGGAACTGATTCTTAGCCGGCCCTTCCATGGGCTTTGAGAGGCAGTGAGCTGTGCAGAAGGAGACTGACCATCTTGCTCCTTCACAGCAACTGGTGGATTTGAACCACGTGCCTTAGGCTTGACAGCACAACTTCTTCCCACTGGGCTACGAGTGCTTCCTAGGCACTAATGTTTATATCTATCTATAAAGACTCATCAACAACCTGAATTATGCAGGTGACACAACTTTGCTCACTGAAACTGAGGAGGACTTGATGCATTTGCTGCAGAAGGTCAAAGACTGCAGCCTTCAATATGGATTGCATCTCAACATTAAGAAAACAAAGATTTCACCATTGGGGAAATAGGCAGTATTGTGACAAATGGAGAAAGGTTTGAGATGAATGATTTTATCTTTCCTGGGTCCATAATCAATATTCTTGGCACCAACAGGAAATGAAAAGACAAGTTGCGTTGGGAAAACAGGCTGTCAAATGACTCTCCAGAATGCTAAAGAGCAACAATGACAGTCTGGAGACTAAGGTGCACCTGATCCATGGTTTTCTCATTTGCTTGCTATGTGTCTGAGAGTTGGGCAATGAATAAAGATGACAGAAGAAAAAAATATGTCTTTGAGTTGTAGTGCTGGAGAAGAGTACTGAACATCCCATGGACTGCCAAGAGAACAAACAGGTCTTTCCTGGAGAGGGTGAAATCAGTTTGCTCCTTGGAGGCAAGGATTTTGGGATTCTGTCTCACATACTTTGGGTATGTCATAACGAGGGGCAATTCTTGGAGAAGGACATCATACTTGGAAGGGTAGAGGGTCAGGGTAGAAGAGGAAGACCCTGGAGGAGATGGATTGACATACAGTAACTGTGGCAATGGGGTTTGGTGTGTCAGAGATTGTGCGGTTGGCTCAGGATAGAGCAAGGCTCAGAGATACTGTTCATCAACTCAGTGGCTCAGTGGCACAAGACAACAACATATATATTTGTGTGCGTGTGTGTGTGTGTGTGTAAAATGCCCATGAGGATACTGCCCATTTCCCTCTCTGTGCCTTTGAGATTGCAGTGCAGCTTCTTACCACAAGGCCACCAGAGCTCGCCCTCTCCCTCTATCTCCCTCTTAAATATAGGGGCTCTGATGACTCGGTGCTGAAGTGTTCAGCTGCTAACCAAAGGTCAGTGGTTGGAACCCACCAGCTGCTCCAGGGAGAAGGATATGCAGTCTGCTTCTGCAGATTTTATAGAAAACTCTGTGAAGTCATTCTACTCTGTCTTACAAGGTCTCCATGAGTTGAAGCTGATTCAACAAGAATGGATTTGGCTTTAGTTTTTAATACACCACAATTTTTGAAATACCAATTAGGAAAAAAAAAAAGATGTAGATATGTTAGAAGCATCAAGACTCATTTCCAGAGAATCCAAGAAAGCCGAGCAAGGAGGGGTCACCGAGGAAGTTACACATCGCCTCCAGCTCCATAAACCAGATTGGGCATGTTTCTGTGTCTGCACCACAGGAGGAAAAAGCAGATGAGGTGAGGCTGGCTAACAGAGTGATTTCCAGGTGTTCAGGGTGAGGCTCTGCAGGACTTTTATGGGGCGCTTGTGGTCTCAGTGGGGGAAACGGAGGATGAGGCTACGGGTCTGTAGCAGGTTTCCACTTGCCCCACAGTCTCTGGCTTCCTCCAATGCCACACCCACAGTGTAACCCCTGGCCCTGCCCAGCTGATTTGGGCTTGGCAGCCTGGCATTTCCCCCCCAGGCTTGCTTTGATCAGCACAACTGTCCTTGGAAGCTCTAACTCATCTTGTGGTCAAAACAGAGCAAACCTTCATGCAAACCGAGTGTGTGCAGTTGACCTTTTGACCCAGAATTCCCAGGGGGCTCGCCAGCAATGTTTCAACTGCAGGGAGCCCTCCTCTCCTTGCTGTCTTGTGTGAACTCCAAGAAGGGTCAGAATTAGACCCCCGGACATTTGTTTCTGTTGATTTATTAGCCAGTGATGGAAACACTGCTGGCCCCAGAGAATACACAAGATGACACACATCTGGAGAGAACCAACCGCCTCCCCATCCCCACCCTCGCTGCACCCGGACAGATTCGTGGTCGCAGAGCTGAACCGAGTCAGTGGATGTGGCCCCTTCACCTCCACTTCTCCTGTGGCACAGCAGGAGCTGAACAGTTCACCTTTGGTCTCAGCCAATTCTGCCAGGATCTCCTCATGCAGAGACAGGTCCCAGGGCTAGTGAAGCATCTTTCTCCAGAAGGCAGGTTCACCAAAGTCATCCTGAGACATGGTGGTCATTTTTCACACTTGAGTCCATAGTCTTCCCCATCTTCATCTCCAAGAAATTGCAGTTCAGAATGTCAAATGATGAGGCATCCAGCACTCCTTCAACACACATTTGAGAAGCACCTACTGTGTGGAGGCTGGGTTCTGGGTGTGGTATTGATTCCACTATCTGATCAGGAGCTTGGGAGGGGAAAGATCACACTGTGATGAAAGAAGGCCCCCAGCTCTTCCCCAGGGCTGAGGCTTTGGGAAGAGTCTCCTCTGTCCTGTGTCGAATGGTGTAGCTTTGGGCTCATCCCCTGCAGAGCAGGAAGGAATCCAAACAGAGGATGGAGGATTAGATGCATAAATATTCCTGGACCCCAGAGTGGGTCTGTCCCCAAATGGAGGAGCTGGAGATGAAGAAAGGAAAATCTGGGAAGTCCTCATGGATCATGCTGATCTACACATGAGGCCACAAGAAATTAGGTCTTTGTTGTTGGGAGGCCAAGAGAACTCAAGTCTGTGAACCAAATGAGCTGCAGGCGAGGTACAAAAAGTTCTAGAGGAGAGAACTCAGAAAGAACGATGGGTCATCCTTGGCATTCCATCTGGAACCGTGGAGTCTCTTGACGCTTTGGTTCAGGGGCCTGTCTCAGTCTCCATCAGCTGGACCAATGCCCCACCCCAGGGGGAGAGGATGCGGGAGGGCCGGGCTCAGAGCACCATGTTCCACCACTTGAAGGAGAAGGGCTGCCGGCGCACATTGGTGCCACAGTGCACCTCGCCGTGCAGCATGTGGTACGGGGTGAAGTCATCGATGAAGGTGCAGTGCAGGCCCAGCGGCTCCAGCAGGGACCGCACCTTCTCCTCCAGGCAGCAGCGGCCGTTGATGATGGGTCCGAAGGGCTTGGGGATGCCCAGGTACTTGCCCAGCACCAGCATGTTCACCTGCAGTAGGGAGGGAAAGTAGTGCTTCATCATCAGGCTCCCACTGTCAACACCCCATTCTCTCCAGCAGGACCTGGAGCTGAACTTTTTTGAGGGCAGCCTTGAAAAAAAGCTACTCACTCTTTCACATTGAATGGGGAGAGAATGTGGGCCAGTAAGATCGTTTTAGCCACTGTGAATGCCTTTGGGAGCATTCATAGAAGTCAAAGTATAGAAACTTTGTAAACAAATAAAAAAATATTAAGAAAACTACAACTCATTTCTCTGGTAAGTGCTCTTCTTATTAGTGGGTGGCAGCAACTCTTGTATTTGTGCTACCGAAACCAAATATCTAGGCTATATCTGGTGGGATCGGGAACCATGGTGGGCCAATAAGATTTTCTCTACTGGGTACGTGTAGTTGACCTTGTGGGAAAGTACAGTCAGACTCTACTGGTGCCTGTCTCTATAATGGGTGGCCATACTCAGATTCTTCTTCAGGAACAACGAAGCAATGGAGTTGAAGAGAGAGAGACAGAAAGACAGACGGACAGGCATTCCTGCCCTTGAATTTCATGGCATCCTTGCATCTCCTTCTCTAGCTAATCAAGTCTGAGTGGCCCCTGTTCTGAAAACCCATGCCCAGTTCCTAGGAACAGACATAACTGCAGGGCTGTCTCAAACACGAAGGAAGGGAGAGAAAAGATAAGGAGCTTTGTTGCAATTGAGGAAACGAAGGGGAACCAAAAGTTGACCACAAAGAGGAAGGAGAAGAGAGGGGTGAAGCAATGAGGGTGTGGATGGGCTCCCTGTGAGGCTGGAGGATGGAAGTGATGTAGAGAAGGACTTGAAGTGGCCCTCAGAGGAGCACTGGGTCACCTGGTGCCAGAAAGATAGGCGGCAGCATTTCCAACCCCACCCACACCAGCTGACGCGAGACCTGTGGTGGCGCCCACTGGCGGACAGGCACTTCAGATACCTGCTCCAGGAAAGGACACCTCTTCCCTGAAGCCTCCTCGGATCTCCAGGATCTCTACTTCACACCGGAGAAGTGCTTTGTCCTGCCTCTGAATTTTCCCTTCACAGCGATGAATTACCCAATGACCCAGGTTTGCTTGTGGTTCCTTACTAATCTGTAGTGGACAATTTCACATTTTCCCACCACATCAAAGATTCTGCTTCTAACTACAGATAGCATCTGTCTCTCTTCCAACCCCATAGCAGCTTCCTGCAGAGTCAGAGCCTCTTTGCAAAGGACAATCCCTGATGAGGAAGAGAGAAACTAGTATGCCAAGCAAGGGTAATTCCTTGTATTTATTTCCTAACCTGTAGTGAACGGATTTTTGGAAGCAGGTCAGGCCTTTTGTTCATAGGGTCGCTATGAGTCATGCTTGACTCGAAGGCAATCCGTGACAACAAAAACAACTACAGTGAGCTGATTGCTACAGATTCTTAAATACAAGCAAATTCCCGCTCACATTCCTGATAAGGTAATAGCCCTGCTTTATCATACCAAATATATCACTGGCTACAGCTCCTCATTGAGGTGACGAGTTTTCCCTTACCAAATGAGGCAGGGAGCCCCTCGAGAGAAGGGACGAGTCTTAATCATCTCTGTGTAATTGTTGGTGTTAGGTGTGATCAGACTCAGAGTGACTCTGAACAGAGCCGAACCTTGCCCTGTCCGGCACCATCCACACCATTTCTGATAAACTTGAGGCCATTGTTATAGCCAACCCATCATGCTGAGAGTTTGAATTACCCACTGAACCCCAATCCATTGTGAGAGAGTTGATCCTGGCTCATAAAGCCCCTCCAGTAGATTTCTGGGCTGCTCAGATATCTTTGCAGGGACGCACTGTCTATCTTTCTCCCTGTAGAGTGGCTGGTGGATTGGAGCCATCAAGCCTTCAGTCAGGAGTGTAACGCATCACACACTCTGCCACCAGAACTCCTTGTACCCCCCTCAGGTCACCCTGAATAAGTGCTGCATAGACCACCAGCTGCCATTCAGAAGGCAGATAATGTTCAGGTGTACTGTTCACAGACTTGCTATGAGTCGTGGCATCAGAGTTCCCAGTTCACGTGCACTTTCTACAATGACCTCAGGCAGCCGTTTCTTCACTTCTCAGATAACAGAAGTGCCCCAGGAAAAGAGAAAGGTCCCTACTGACCTCTCGATCAAGCTCATGATTTGTGAGTATTCGCAGTGTCCAGACTCTCTCCACCACCTCAGCTGCTGCCACAATTCCTGACAGACCTGCCTGAGTCCAAACATCCCGGCCCTCTGAGAGTAGGGATGGAGCCTGCTAGTAAGTCCTGGGTGGGGCAGCACCAGAGGGCACCTCCCCTGCCGCGCCTCACCAAGTCCGGGAAGAAGGCCGCTGCCTTCCTCCTCTGCATCTTGAAGAGCTGGGGGATGTCGATGATGTCACGGTCAACCAGGCCCAGCTCCCGCTTCAGCACCTCGCGGTTCCAGTCAATGCAGCTCTGGATGGGGAAGATTGGGGTAAAGCAGAGTTGGGGGGCACCCTGCAAAGTGGGTCCAGGGGATCGACAGCTCAACTCTGGTCAAGGAGAAGGGGATGTTCTAGTGTGTCAGTGAATGAATCGTCCAAGCAAATCTTCTCTTTGTGCCTTTTATGAAACTGCCTCTGTTCTGTGCCCTATCCCCAGGCCCACCCCTCAGGGTTTGGATAACATGACAGCGGTGCAGGCTCCATGTTGACCCTTATCTCTAGATCCCTCACTCTTTACAGGCCTCATTTAGTCAAACGGCTTAACTCAAAACTCTTGCGACAGAGTTGGAACCACCGCACAGCTGACCCTCCATTGGACTTCCACGGCTGGAGATCATCACAAGGAGGCGTAGTTCATCTTTCTCCCTTGGATTTGAACCACCAGCCAGGTATGGCCTTTGGGTTAGCAGCACAACTCATTATGGATTGCATCACCAGAGATGCTGAATGGCTTAAAAGATCTTCTGTCTAAGCACTCCCAATGCATAGCCCCAGCCCCATCTCTTCCCTGAATTCTAGCCTTGTAAACATGATGGCCCTCTTTTTTCATCTTTAGTTTAATAGGCATATCAGACATAATGTGTCCAAAGACAAACCTTCTATAAATGCTTTTTCATTTGCCCAACTAGAGGTGCCCTCTGTTTTCCTGCTAAGGCTTATTGTCACCATCCCCTTCCAATGATATATTCTCAACACAGAAAGCAGAGAGAAAGTTTTCAATTATAAGTTAGAGCAAGTCTCTCTTTGAAATCCTCCAATGGCCTGGAGTCTCACTCAGAGTCATGGTCAGGCCCTGGCAATGGTCCTCAACTTGTCACACGTCTTGGCCTCCCTCACCCCATTCAGCCTCCTGGCTTGTCCTCAAACACGCCTGGCCCATATGCTTCACTCCAGCCTCCAGGCCATTGTTTAGGCTGTTCCCTCTGCCTGGAACGCCTGTCCTTCTCATGTGCACATGACTCCCCCAGTCTGGGCCTGAATTAGCCTGAGCTTTTAAAAACCTATGTGACTCAGACTTCTGTCCCCTGTCCTGTCCCCAGCTATGTCCATCCTATGTCCCACGACCCACTGAGTTTATACCTGCACAAACTTGTTATAGTTGATGAGGTTCTCATCAGAGAGAACTTGGTTGATGGAGATGGTCTTGACTCGCCTATCACCTGTGAGGGGGGAGGGGTTTAAAAAGGGGGTAGAGCAAAGTCAACAATGAGGGTCATCTGCTCTGGGAAGCCCGCAGCCTGAGGTCAAATTCAAAGTTGCCTGGCCCGAACCAGCAGCTCCCTGTCTTTTCTGGATGTTGGGGGACATTGCCTAGCACAGCTTGGCTTGACCACTGTACAAGTCTGGGTACGTGAGGAGTGGGAAGGTTAGATTGCCACAATCTTGTGAACTTTAGGACTTTGAGTTCATTGCTGGTGATGCTGCCTTTCATTAGACATTTATAAGCACCCCGGGGCACTGGGTGATGAGTCCTAATCCTCTGGCTAGGGCAGGGAGCAGGATCTGTTGCTGCCTGCTCACCAGTGCCAGCCCTGACTTCCCAGTCTGGGAGTTGGGCACCACTAGGCCCTGCCCCGGCCCTCTCGGAAGTGAATGCACAGTGAAGGAGCCCCTCAGAGGTCCAGCCTTCCCTGCCTGATGGAATGTCCATGGGGGTGAGGCAGGACAGGAAAGGGGAGGTGACACAATCTTCTTTCCTGCTACTTACTACACACTCACTGTGCACAAGCTCCTACTAAGAGCTCTACAGCCAATGCCTCCTCTCATTTCACAAGATGCATGTTAGCTTTCCTGCTCTGCCACCGAGGACCAAGGCCGTGGTGGGCAGCACTAGAATCCTCACCTTCCATTCAGGAGACCTGGGTTCAATTCCCATCACAAGCATGTCCTTGCAGACTCTTACAATGCTAAATGAAATAAGCTTCCAGACTGACATAGACTAGGGAGAAAGGCTTTTCCCCCCTTTCTTCTCAAACCTACTTCTGAGAAACAGAGAATGTAAATCCTACAACTCATGATAGTCACAGGGATCCGGCAGTGCTGTGTTGTGTTTATTACACGCGAGGTCACCAGGAGTCAGGGCCTGACTCAACAACAGCTGTGGAAACCGAGGCTCGGAGAGGTAAAACTGATTGCCTCAAGTTATACAACTAGGAAGTTCAGGCCTCATCAAAGGACTCTAGTTCAAGACCAAGAGAAGAGAGAGGGCTGCCCTAACATGTCTGCACACCTAAGGGTTTGCATCTTCTCCCCCAACTTGTAGTCACAGTTGGGGTTGATTCTTGACTCCATCCATTCTTTTCTTTTTAATATTGAAAATTTATTTTAGCGAAGATGAGGTCTCTCTCTAGGTCAGCAACTTCCCCTGCCTGTGTTTCCCATTCTTCAGGAGAATGAAAGGGGTGATAGCAGGGCCTTCCTCCCAGCCTCTTGTGAAGATCACGTGGCATAATGCACCTAAGGCACACTGTAGGTCCCTGATCCATGCACCCCGCCCCGCGGCTGCCCTGGTCGTGCGTCAGGGTATTGCATCCTCTTTGCTGGAATGTGTTAGGATCCTCCATCAGAGGTTGGCCAGAGGCTCACAGCTACTACAATGCCCTCAGAGTGTGCCTGGCACTACCAGCCCAAGGCCGCCATGATTACTGCACACCCCCCCTACCCACCCCCTCACCTCCTCATAAGGTGGCCCCATCACTTGCCTTTGGAATCAACCTGCGTTGTCCACGCCCTCTCCAAGCCCATCCCCCACCACTCCACCCTGGGCCTCCCCCACCTCAGTTCCGCAGGTCACATAGGTGGGAAAGGGGGTGCAGTTAGAGCAGGGCTGTGGTGGCAGCAGTTAGGGGGTGGATCTCACAATAGGAGCCACAGCCTAGCTTGGCCGTTTGCCTCCCTTTTCCAAGGCATGGCTTATCTGGAGGTAGAGGGGCCCGAAAGCTGTGATGAGGGTGGGCACTGTTAACTCACCAACAACCCCTTCAAACAAGAGGGCCCGGCCATGGCCCCACTTCTGCTTTTCCTGGAAGAGCCTCAAGCAGGCGCTGGGGCTGGCCAGCAGCAGGCGGAAGCCCTGTGTGGAGAGAAGAGGCCGCGCTGAGTCCCCCGGCTCACTGGCGCGCTGGGGCTCAGTCAGGCACGGTCAAGCCCCGAGGCTGCCCTGGGCAGGTGACCCAGGTCTTTACCTTCTCATCCGGGGCAGGGACAAAGCTCAGAAACTCATCCACGTGGCCCACGGCCAGCCAGTCCACAAAGAGCTCCACGGGAGGCTGCACCTTCTGAGCGTGGAGGAAGTTCCGCACCACCTGGGTGACCCTCCGGCCGCTGGACCTGGGGTCCACGGGATGCAAAAAGAGGTCACCTCACTAAGAAGTCTAAGCACAAACTGAATGCGAGAGTTCAAGACATTTGTAATGTTTCCTTTTTTAACCTACTAAAACATGCATTAAAAAGAAATAACCACCATCTATCTACCCTCACAGCCATGGGTTTGATTCTAGCTCACAGCGACCCCCTCCGCTGGGTTGTGCTGTGGCTGGAAATCTTTATGGGAGGAGACAACCTATCTTTCTCCACAAAGTGGATTCAAACTGCTGGTGATTTGGGCAGCAGCCCAGCACACAGCCTAAAGGGGCACCATATATATATATATGGATGTATGTGTTGTTGTGTACCACTGAGTTGGAATTCACCCACAACCTACCCTCTGTGTGCTTTTGGGTTGGCAATGCAACTCCTTACCACTAAGCCACTAATTCGCCGTAAGGAGTTGCACTGTCAACCCAACGGATGTGGTTCGAATCCATTAGCTGCTCCGGGGGACAAAAATGTGTTATTTGTTTATTTATTTATATTGTTGTTGTTGATTGCCTTTGAGTCGAGCATGACTCAGAGTGACCCAATGAACAAAAGGCCTGAAGACCCTCTACAACTACTGACATTTATCAAGTTCCTAGAGTTTCTGGAGGCATGTTATTTAGGAAGTGGATGCCTCTCCTGCTTCCAAAACCTGTCATAGTATGTTATTGTTTTTATGGGCCATTGAGTTGCCTGTGATGTATAGCGACCCTATGTACAGCAGCTCTGAACCCTTCCCTGTCCTGAGGAATTATAATTCAGACACACCAACCCCCATTGCCCCAGTTACTGTATAAATCCATCTTATCTAGGGTCTTCCTTTCCTACGCTGTCCGTCCACCCTTCCGCTCATGATGTCCTTCTCCAAGGACTGATATCTCTTGGCCACTTGCCTAAAGTAAGTGAGGCAGAGCTTCAAAATCCTAGCCTCCAAGGAGAGACTTTGTTCCATCCTCTCCAACACGAAACTATTTGTTTTCTTGGCAGTCCATGGTGTGTTCAAAACTCATCTCCAGCACCACAACTTGAAGGCATCAATCCTTCTTCTGTCATCCTTGTGTGATTTATAGCCTCTAAAAACCCACTGAAGTGTCAGTTAAGAGTTGGTTCCAACTTGACAGTGATACATAAAAATGTGTGTGTGTGTGTGTGTGTGTGTGTGTGTGTATACACGTATACACCTCACAGCCTTGAAAACTCCATGGAACCCAGGTCTGTTCTGCACATGACTTTGAATCCACTCAATAATACTTAACAACAACCAACACACACACACACACACACACACACACACACACACACACACACACACACACACACAAAAAAACACACAGAGAGAAATAGAGTGAGAGACAAGAGAGACAGAAGAGACAGTTAGAAAGCACAGAACAGAGAGGTAAAGAAAGACACACAGAGAGCGTAAGA